AAAAAAAAAAAAAAAAAAAAGGAAAGCAATCATATAGGATTTATGGGATGCATTCAAACAGACGAATGTATACATAATAGGATGCCCAGAAGAAAATGAGAAAAGGTAGTGAGAATAGTGAAGAAATAATGGCCAAAATATCTCAAATTTGAAGAAGACAGCAGACATTTCAAGAAGCTCAGTGTACTCCAACATAAACCAAAGTGATCCACATCAAACATATTATAATCAAAACCACAAAGAACAACTTGAAAGCACCAAGAGACAGTGACTTGTCATGTACAAGGGAGCTATTATTAGGTTACCAGAAAGTTTCTCAGCAGAAACCCTCATAACCCAGAAGGGAGTAGGGTAATATATTCAAAGTAGTGAAGGAAAAAACTGCCAACCACAAATACTCTATCTGGCAAAACTGTCCCTCAATAATTTAGGAGAAATTAAAACTTTCCCAGATAAATCAAAGCTAAGTTTATCACCACCAGATCTTTTCCTCAAGAAATGCTAAAGAGAGTCCGTCAGGTTGAAACAAAAGAATGCTAGTATCATACAAAGATGTTAAGCTCTCTGGTAGGGACATATAGACAAGATATAGAATTCATAGTATTGTGCTTTTTTTCTTTTTTTTGGTACCGGAGATCGAACTCAGGTCCTTGTGCTTGAGAGTCAGGCAGTGGAACCACTGAGCTAAATCCCCAGCAGAATTCATAGTATTGTGATGTTAGTGCATGGATTCTTTCCTTCCTTTTTATGTTTTCTTTTTGTACTGGGGATCAAACTCAGGACTTTGCGCTTGCGAGGCAGATGGCAGAAGCACTGAGCTAAACCCCTGGCCCATCTTTTCTTAAATATATATACTCTATGTTGCCCCGGCTGGCCTCAAATTCTTGAGCTGACATAGTCTTCCTGCCTTAGCCTCCTGAGTAGCTGGAACTACATATCTGATTAGCTGAATCTGAGTAGCTGGGACCAAGGCATCCAGCCTGGTAAATTACTTTTAAATTTGGTACAGATATTTTTATTTTGTTTTGTTTTTGAGATGGGGTCTTTCTTTGTAGTACAGGCTTGCCCTGAGCTCCCTATGTAGTACATTCTGGCCTCAAACTCTTGGCGATCCTCCTGCCTCAGCCTCCCGAGTGCTGGGATTACTGGTGTGCACCACCACACCCAGCTAGTACAGACTCCTTCTAATGAAAGTATAAAAAGTAATTATAAATTTATGTTAAGAGATACACAATACCAAAAAACTAATCTGTGATATCATTGGCAAGGGAGGACAAAAAATGTGAAGGAGTTTTTGTGTGCCATTGGAGTTACTTTTCTATCAGTTTTAATTAGATTTTAATTTAAGTGTTTTTATAAAAATTGCATATTTGTTCATTCTGATCTTTGTCTTGAACTGCTTGAGTCATGTCAGCCTATCTCCCAGTAATCAGAGTCCTATCACAAAAAGGAAGGCCATGGCCAGGGATTTAGCTCAGTGGTTCCACCGCCTGCCTCCCAAGTACAAGGACCTGAGTTCTATCCCTGGTACCAAAAAACAAAAAAAAAAACAACAAAAAGGAAAGCCATAGCTGTCACAGGCTCACTAATATGGCCACCTGGACATGTGGGGAGTTTCCATCCATAATGCACAGGTCACACTGCATGAGTTAGGCACTGGGCTAGGTGCTGGTGCCCTGCCATACATAAGACAGCATTCCAGCTTTTACATCTTTTTAAGAGAGATACATAAACACATTTTTCCTCAAAATTATTTTCCACGCAATTTTATTTAAATATAGGCAATTTGAAGGTGTTGAAAACATGATAGAATTAAAAGACGCTTAAGCCTGCAAGCAGGTGCTTTTCTGTCATGAAAACGACGAGGAGCAAATCTTTCTCAATTTCCAACTATTCTGGGAGGCTTTTTGCAAACAGATACCAGTTTCATTCATCCTCTCATGAGCTCTGAAGAGGGAGGAAGCATACAACTTACACTAAGATCAGAGGTTGGGTGTGACGCATCTCAGGTCCCCGGCGGCTCCTGAGAGCAGACCACGAAAGGAGATCTCGGTTCCTGGGTGAGACAGCAGACAATCAGGATGTGGCATCTTTGGGCACAAACTGTCCATGACACTTCTACGTGAAAGGTATATGTGACAAGTTGATAATTAGGGATTGCTGCTTGCCAACAGATATGGAAGAGAATGTCCTTCAGAACAAGCTGCAAGATTTCTGGTCTCCACAAAGATCAAGAGTGTCAGCCCAATGTTATATATCTTTTGACTCTACATTACTGTGGTTTAGGGTAGTGATGCTTATAGTCACAGCCAACCCCAAAGTAATTCCCTTGTTCCAGGCAGTTTTCAGTAATCCTCCTGACAGTCCTGTCCGTTATTACCTCCAGATTTGGGACCATCATTACCTCTACTTCTATATAAGAAAACAAACTCAGAAACAGAGTCGCTCATCCCGAATCATATTGCTGTCAGCAGCAGGGCTATGATGGTAGAAAGAAGGGTAGTCCTGGTCTCACACATGCTATGCCAGGGCTGTAGCCCAGAACTACAGGCCAGCCAAGTCAGTGCCTGTCATAATGCAGAAGATATGAGGAGACCCTAAAATACCCACTGAATCACCTAAAAATCCACTAAATTATGCTTAATATAGTATCCAAATATGCCTCACCGGATTCAAATTGGTTCATCCAAATCTAGTCTTTCGGTTACTTCCTCCATCCCCAACCACTCAAGAGTTTTCCTCATAATTTCCTGATATCCTGTCACTCTCAAGTGTGTGTGTGTGTACAGGTTTCAGGGTCATTCCAGAGAGAAAATGTGAAATTAGGCAGAAAAAAAGAGGCTGTTGTGACTTGTTTCTAGAAGTACCCCCAAAGCCTCATGCAGTCATGGGTGGGGCTTTTCTGAGGTGCCCGGATCTACAGTGCGTGATGCTGGGATTAAGTGTGTGGTGTGGGGATTGAGGGTGTGCGATTACTACATTAGTCCACCGATTGGTTTTCCATAGTTCTGGGTAGCATTAAGGGTGCCCCACCCTGAATGTGAGTGCTACCCTAAGGGCAGGTAGTCCCAGTGGAATATAAGAGGCATAAAGGGGTCGTCTCTTGTTGCTCCTTGTCACTTGCTGCTTGCTACTTCACTGCTTTGCTGCCTTCTACCTGCCATGAACTGTTTCTCCTCTGCCATGCTGCCCTGCCTTGGAGCCAGCCAACTGTGGATTGAAACCTCTACAAACTGTAAGCCAAACTAAACCTTTCCTCTTTTAACTTTGGGTATCAGGTATTTTGTCCCAGCACTGAGAAAAGTAACCAAGACAGGGACTAACATTTTACTTTTTGCAGGACAAAACCAAAATCAAGTGCTAGTTGCTGTTTTAAAAATACCACATAAGAATAATAAATGATATATGTACTGAAAGTTGATAATTGGAGAGTTAAAAAAATACAATCTACCATTTTTCTTAACCAAATAATTTATTTTCATAGTTTATCCTTTTTAAGAAAATTTCTCTGGCCTTCCTTCCTTGGGATCTCGAATATTAAATTCAAGATGTTTCTTAAAAATACTGCCTCTGGTCAAGCATGGTGGTGCACACCTGTAATTCCAGCCCTTGGGAGGCTGAGGCAGAAGGATCTCCATGAGTTCAAGGTCATCCTGGGACACATAGTGAGCTCAAGACCAGGCAAGACCCTGTCTCCCCAGCACCTCACAAAAAAGTACTGACTCTGGCAAGAAGTTTCCTCAACCCTTTTACAAGCAGCAAAACAGACAGGAGAAATGACAGAGCTCCAGAAGCATTTGCATCTACTCACAGTGCTGTCACGTATGATGCAAATGGACCAGCTGTGGAGGAGACCAGGAGAGCTCAGAGCTGTCCACGATGACCCACGTCTGCTGGAGGCCTCCACGCGTCCACATGGGATCATGCAGTGCGAGATGCGGGCGCCTTCATCCCCGCCTGACACAGGAACAGGAGCAAAGACTCCAGTGTGACACGCCTGTCACTGAGGTTGCAGAGGTCTTCTCAGACCAGCTTTCCTCGCCCTTAGGGACATTTGAATTTCCTCCAGTGCATTTTCTTGACATTTCAGTTTAGTCAGGCGCTTCATTTCATAGTCCCTTTCGAGTTTGATGGCTAAAAAATAAAATCCATGAAGCAATCTGAATGGCCCTTTCCACTGGGCTTAGTGTATTCAAAATTGAATCACACACAGCGAGGTGTGTGGGACCATGTTTGTAATCCCAGCACTTGGGAGGCTGAGGCAGGAGGATTGCTTCAGGCTCAAGGCCAGCCTGGGCTACACAGTGAGTTCAAGGCCCAGCCTGGACTACATAGCAAGATCCTGTCCAAAAAATAAATCCTAAAGGGCATCAGCAACACTGACATTGTTAAACAACCAAGATACTAGGGCTTCTGAGACAAGGAGGTGTGGTAGGAGCTAAGGAGCTGAACAACACATCTCAGTGTCTCTCTGATAATACACACAGGACACACACATTGACAACAGATGACCGGGACCCGGAGGCACTTACCTTCCTCTGAAGGCAGCAGCCCTTCCTTGGTTCCACATTTCGCCAGCTCTAAGGGACTCCCATATGCAATTTCCCCCAAGAAGGGCAATCTGGAGTTGACTAGGTTCGAGTACCAGGTCTTGGTAAGCAGGGCAAGATCCCAAGTTTCCTGTCTGGGGCAAAAATGCATGAATTCATTCAGTAAGTGTTTACCGCACACGCGCACGTGCACACACACACACACACACACACACACACACACACATCGCGAGAGATACAGAAGATAGTCGCTCAGCCACACTGGGCCGCAAGGGAGAGGCTCAGGATTTCCCAGGGCGGCAACTCTGGCAGGAAAAGCAGCCAAGGCAGGGACCAGAATTTCTAACACCAGGGACTTGTGGTGTTAGAAGGGAAGGATGCAGATGACAGTGGTGAGCTCCCGCATCCTTCGCGGCTGCCAAACACTGTCCCATCAAGGAAGTCACAGATGTCACCCGCACCGAGCAGGGTGCACGGCTCACACTGAGGCTCTGCGGGAGTGATCTGGAGTTGGGGAGGGGAAGTGACGGCACTAACTGCCGCATTCAAAGTAATCATTGCAGAGGCCAGAGATTTAGCTCAGAGGTTCCACCGCCTGCCTCGAGAGTGCAAGGTCCTGAGTTTGATCCTGGTACCAAAACAATAAAATAATAATAATAATTATTATGGAACCAAGATATATTACGTAAAGGTATGAATTTCCAATGATGTGTGTCATTATATTGTATACCTAAAATGTACCAAGAAAACGAATTTTAAAAATCATATCTAAACGTGACTCATTTTATGTAGTTTAACTCTGACATGGGGAAAGCATACACGTACTGTCCTTGGAGAGGAAGTAAGTATCCACGTGCCCCTTTGTTTACTTCCTCCGGCTTCCCCCATTCCTGATCACCTAAATTCAGGGGTGACTTAAAGGTCACAGTTATTACCATGTGCATGAACAAGTTGCAAAGAGGTTTCTTTGAGACAGGGTCTCACTATGTAGTTGAGACTGACCTGAAACTCACTATGTAGCCCAGGCTGGGGTCAAACTCACAGCAATCCTCCTGCCTCAGCCTCCCAGGTCTGGGATTAAAGGTATGAGCCACCACACCCAGTGCAAAGAGGTATTTATGAGAATGTTCATTAAAGCAGTGTTTAAAAGTGAAACATGGAAATCACCTTACAGTCTGTCAACAGCCTGATTAAGCAGCAGTGGGTGAGTGCATGCAGCAAAAGAACAAGGCCTGGGCCTTTGTGTTGACCAAGAAAGAGGAACAAGAAAAAGCTCGCATTTATGTGGCACTTACTTGTGTGCCACGTACTGTTTTGAGCAGTTTATCCATATAAACAGGTCCAATTGCTACAACATCCCTGTGGAGGGAGCACTTGCTATTACCACCCTCCCTTCACAGATTCGCAAACTCAAGAGTGGAGAACCAATTTCCCCAGGTCACAGGCTGCTGGGTGTGAAGTCAGACTTCAAATCTGTAGTCTGGACCACCATGCTGTACAAGACACACTGGGCAGTGAGGGGTCAATATGATTTCCACATGTTGAAAACATAGGTAGGGCTGGGGATTTAGCTCAGTGGTGCCATTACCTGCCTCTCAAGTGCAAGGTCCTGAGTTCAATCCCTGGTACAAAACAAAACAAAACAAGCAAAAAAAAAAAACATGTGACAGCTGGGTGTAGCGGCTGAGGCAGGTGGACTGTTGTCCGTCTGAGGCCAGCCTGGGCTACGTAGTGAGTTCAGGGTCAGCCTCACCTGTAGCGACATCCTGTCTCATAAAGCCAAAATGTGTGTGTGTGTGTGTGTGTGTGTGTGTGTGTTTATATACTTGTGTGTCATGTGTCTTCTAGAGCAGCAGAAATCAGAAAACCTAGAAAAACTATAGGAGATTTTATTTCTGAGCAGGACCTAAGGGTAGGAATGGGAGAATGAGTGAAAACTTTTATTTTTTATATGCTCCAATACTATTTAACTGTTTAAAGTATTATTTGTATAATTTTAAAAAATAAAATAAAAGGGCAAGGAGCTGGGCATGTTGGTGCACACCTGTGATCCCAGTACCTGGGAGACTGAGGTGGGACTCCAGCAAGTTTGACACCAGCCTGAGCTACTTGTGAGTTGAACTACATAGCCAGACTTTGTCTCAAAAAGCAGAAACAAAAACAGGCCTTAGCAAATGAACTCTAAGGAGCTCTGCTAACATTCTGGTTTTTTGTTTGTTGTTTTGGTACCAGGGATCCAACTCGGGCAGCAGAACCAATGAGCTAAATCCCCGGCTCTATTCTGTTCTTTTAACTTCAGAAGAAGTCTGATGATAAACTCTGTGTGAGGAGAGCAGTGGGAAAAGCCCCAAGCTCACTGGTTCTGCAGAACCAGAGTCCAGAGTTGCACTCACATTCTCTGGAAATAGAAATTTCTTCATATCAGAACTGCATTTGTGCCGGGCATGGTGGTACACACATGTAATCCCAGCACTCAGGAGGCTGAGGCAGGAGGATCGCTGTGAGTTCCAGACCAGCCTGAGCTACATAGTGAGTTCCAGGTCAGTCTCAACTACACAGTGAGACCCTATCTCAAAACAAAACTGCATTTGTGAGAATATTCACCACAGTGGAACTTGCCTAAACGCACAGTGAACTGACAAAACTGAGCAAGTTCTCTGTAGCTGTGGTTGAGAACCCTGCAGGAATCCCCGTTTCTAAGAATTTCGTGATGAAGAACGATTTATTCAACCATAACAGTGAAAATGACACGAGCTGGGGCGGGGGAGCCCACAAAACAAATCCAAAAAAGTGTAGGAAAGCAGCGATACAAGGTCAAGCGTGAGACCCCTGCGGCAGCCGCTGCTCAACACGGCCCACGCCAGACGGCGCCCTGGGGCCACAGCGAGGCCCGGAGGAGGGCAGAGGGCCCGAGAGCCCGGCGCAAAGCCCATCGGTGCCCACGCGGCTGCCAACTGGGACGCGAAGCTGCTTCGCACCCTGGCCCTGGACGGGGAGCCCTGCTCAGAGCACCTGAGCTGGGGCCTTCGAGTCAGGCTGGGCTGGCTAGGGCGGATTGTGAGACGCTGGGCAGGAGCGGAAACTTGTTCCGGGAGAAGATTCACACCAGAGCCTGGCCCTGGGGTGGCAGGGTGTGCGCCCCTGTCAGCGTTGCCACGGTGCAGAGACCGGTAGGGGATGGTCCGTGCTCCCGTCAAGGCAGTGCCTTTTGGCAAGGAGCCCGCGCCCCGCCGGGCCGCACTCACACGCTGTAGCAGCTGCCGCGCAGGATGCTCCGCACCGTGTTCCTCCGGGGCAGCCCGCAGGCCATGCCGAGCGCTCCGGCTCCTCCCTGCAGGGACAGGGACGGGGACAGGGACGCGGGTGAACGGCTTCCCCAGCCCAGGGAAACGGATCCCGAGAAGGCGCCTCTGACAGCGGAGGCTGAGCCCGAGTACCACCCTCCTTGTCTTTCTCTCGGAGCCGTTGCCAGTTCTTCCACCATGTAAAGGGCAAGGCAGGCAGGAGTGCTCTGGCTGGACAGGTTCCGGGCGCGGCGTGGTCGCTGTCGCGCTGTTGTGGCCCCAGGTGGTCAGATGTGCCCGCTGTGCGGGGTCAGGCGACTCAAACTATGCGGGGACAGCAACTTCCGCCGACACAGACCTCTACCCAGCACAACCCGGACTTGCCCGCCTCTTCCAAATCCTGGCCTAAGCGTGGCCAATCCAGGCGCGGTGATGTACGCCTGTGGTCCCAGCACTGGGGAGGCTGAGGCAAGAGAATCGCCGCGGGTTCGAGGCCTTCCTAGGCCACGCACGATCATACACAAAAGTGGCCCCGCCTTGGCCCCACCCTGCGTCCGGAGTGGGCCGTTCCGCCTGGCCCGCGGTCCCTCTCATCCCCAGACCCGCTTCGCCCTCCTCAGGTT